GTTTAGATGTGTGAGTGGTGTAATGTTCCAATTCCAGTTGGATTCATTATATTCCCTTACGCGCAAATACCCTTGGAAAAGGTATAAATCCACCTCTTCTCCTCTCCAGCTATGGGTTAATTAGTAAGACTTGTATCAGTAAAACATTATTATGCCCAACAAAATTCTAACTATCTAATATATTTTCTGGTTTTAAATAAACGGTAAAATGTTATGGATTAATTAATAAACTTGTGTCACTAAACCATTATTATTTCCAAAAATATATTTTTTTTTACAAGATATTTAAATTTCAGCATTAACTGACCCATACAGATGTTGATATGCTGCTAAACAGAAACAACCAACCAACTAAACCACATGAACTATTTTCGTAATGAAAAGAAGAAAACGAATGGTAAGATCCAGTGTATGTTGAAATGAAAACAATCGCTAAAACAAAAGCGATTAAAGAATGGCTAGACAGAATATGAGATTTTGCTAATGACCAGCGATAAGGATGAAACTGCTTAATCTTAGCATAAAACGCTTTCAGATTATGATTCTGCATCCATCGTAGATTTTCAGGATACTTTAGTCGGGGGATTATGTATACACATTAGCAGCGATTAAACAATCGTTTTCTTTTGTTGGTCTTACGCACGAATTAGGTTGAAACACAGCTTATTACTTAATCATTGAAGAAACAATTTTCTTTTCCGTGTTCAAGTGTATAATAATAAGTTTCAGCCAAGACAATCGCATTCTCTTTCGCACTGAAGCCATTACGGAAGGCATGAATCCATCTCTCTCCGACCACCAGCTATAGAGTAAATAGAAGTGTAGTCTGGTATCTAAATGTTTGGGTGGCACTCCATTTCTTTAACAAAGACAGATTTAATAATCAACATAAAAAAATAACATTCTGTCTTAATTTGGGGGTTTACAACCCTATCACGTTGAAGCCGCTGTTCCCGTTCGATTAACAAAGTTAAGCAACGAGTCCGGTTAGTTCCTAGATGGGTGAACGTTTCGGAATGCCAAATGCTGTAAACTTGCATGTGCGCGTGGTGTAATAGTTAATGGCTCGGAATTGTGATTCAGAGAACCGAGTTCCAATTTCACTAAACATACAAATACCTTTGAGAAAGGTACAGATCTACTTCTGAATATACCCTTGCTGAATATACCCCTGCACCTCCCTGTTAAAACTTGTAATTGTAAATCATTATTATCTAAAAAAAAAAAAAAAATCATTATTATTTAAAAAAATCTTACAATCTAAAAAATATTTTCCGGCCTTAAATACCCTGGAAAGGGATGATAATCTGTAAAAAATCAAATCATTCAATTTCTGGGTTGAAGAGATATCATTACTTGCATTATTTACATGCGGACTATTGTTCTCATCTTTGTTGAAGTTATCACAATGCTTCTGATGTTGTGACATTTGGCCTTTATAAGGAGTATATCGATCCGGGTAACATCAGAAAATTTCGAATTGAAGTCTGTAGCCTTCATTCAATTTACGAAGGTACTGTGTTCTCGTTCCACAGCTTCTGTCGTTGTATATCTCGTCTATCGCTTATTTAGAATTGTTCAGATATTGCGTCTCCTTTTCCACTGTGTCCAAGTACATACTGCTCGGACCCGTCATTGAATTTGCAAATACTAATTCATATATACTAATTCAAATACTAATTCATCAAATTTACAAAACAACACTTTAAACCGCTAGATTATTTGACAGTTAAAAATAAATTAGTAAGTATTTTACAAAAAATGATTTTTTTTTAAATTTTTTATATAAAAATATCATTTTGGGAAAATTAATTGTAAAGTGGGAAAAAAAAAAACTTCGTCATTTAGGACTTCATCGAACTAAAGTAAACTACACATACCCAAGTGAGGAGCATCGGTATTTTGTAGCTTTCTCTAATATTGTTCTGTTATATAAAAAGTAAACATTAGTTTAGCCCATAAAATCATTCTCTGCCATGTAGATAACATTGATTTATTTTTATTGTCACACGTGAAATGACGCATTTTTTACTTGATTTTTGATCCGAACGTCTAACGAAGTAATTCCCTTAGTACATAACAAATCTTGACTTATTCCTGACTCTTTTTCTTTCCAGAATTTCCAGAATTACTTGTTACTCATAAGCCCAATGAAAATGACTACACTGAAAAAATATCACGTAATATTACTGTATGAGTACAACAGGAAAAAGTACCTTTTTTATATCGAATCATGGCATGCGATGAGAAATGGATACTCTTTGACATCAGTAAGAGAATCAGCCAATGGTTATAGACAAGTGAATCAGCAAAACGATATGGGAAACCGCCACTGCACTCAAAAAATTAATGGTTAATGTATGGTAGTCTCTTAAAGGGATCATTCATTATTCCTTCTGGCCTCAAACGTAAACAATAGCAACAACCTCGTATTGTTAAGAAATTAACTGTATGCACGAAAAAAAAAAGAAAAGAAACGTCCTAGATTGTGAATAAGGTTGATCCAATTTTGTTGCACGACAAAGCACGGCCGTACGTTTTTCAATCAACTGTCCAAAGGCTGAATAACCTGAATTATGAAATTTGCCTCATCCTCCATATTCACCTGATATCTCCCCTACTGATTATCACTTATTTAAGCATTTTGAGCTTTTCATACGCAATAAAAAAAAAGCATTCCCCAACAAGGATGAGGTAATCAAAGCATTTAAACTGTTTATCACATCAAAGAATGAGAATCTTTTTAAAGATGGGATCAAGAAATTAGAGAACATTTGGAGAAAAGTCATTCATCAAAATGGTGCTTATTTCATGTAAATAAATTAGTTATTGAAAAGTGTTTTATTTATTTTCATTTATTGTGTGAGAAACTAATATTGGAAGAAACAATTTTAAAATAAATTAATCAAAACAAATCATTGTAGCTTGCGAATAGCAGGATCTGTACGCTCGGATGTGTGGCCGGTGTAATGAATAATAGCTCAGAATTATTAATCGAATGAGTCGAGTTCCAGTTCCAATTGGATTCATTATATTCACTTAAGCGCAAGTACTCTTGAGAATGGTGTGAATCTATTTCTTCTCCTAACTATGGGTAAGAACTGTATCACTAAACCTTTGTTATTTCCAATAAATAAATCAAATTGCTTAAAAAATCTAAGGATTTTGGCATTAAATAACCTATAGAAGTCGATAGGCCGCTAAACAAAAACAATCAGCCAGCAACCAGTTCATCGTAAACATTATGATAAGAAAGCGCCGTATTTCATATTAATATAAACGTTATTTGCTTCAGTTGATAATTTTGTCTTGTTTTTCATTTCTTAAATAATGTAAGTAATGTCGAGGGGTTTAGAGCTATTCTTTGTCTATCCTCCATGTCTTCATAATTTTCGCTTCCTACTTCATCATCTTACGTTCATATCACAAACCTCATTTCATGCTGATGAGCCTGAGGGCGAAACGGCCGTCCAGTGCTTTCCTCATTCTGTTGAGGATTCTTCTAGATTCGACGAATTAATTATGATTATTCAAATCACCCTTAATTTATATATATATATATATATATATATATATATATATATATATATATATATATATATATATATATATCACTGCATGAAGCGGCTTCTAATGCTTCGGATGGAGCAGATTGGAAATAGAAGACGTGACACATAAGTGCGTAGTCCATTGGTATGAGTAGACTCTGATGAGTCGCACAATGGAGTTTGTGAAGAGCTGGCGCTATATTGAGTCTGGTTTGTTCAGTGGGTATGACGCTTACCTCATATCCTAATGATCCGTGTTCGATTATCAGTAGTGGATGCTCATTGCTGATGAGTCTCAAAAATTGGTCGAAATGAGCATCCAGTGCTTTCAGCATTCTGTTGAGCATTCTTCTAGACACGAATTTGGTAGAACATTTTCTACCAAATTCGTGAGAGCATAAAAGAAAAGATGGCTCTCCTGTGACAATTCCCCTAAGGACCATAACTTGGAATGAGATATAGCAGCAGGATTATATCATCTGGGGTAAGCCAGAAAATAAAGTTAAATATCGTTAGTTTAATTCTCTTTGATAAATCTTTGCCCATTTTGAACTAATGGTTTTGGGGTTGATAATAATAATAATAATAATAATAATAATAATAATAATAATACAAAGACCTGACAGTCGAGAGTAACAGGATGCGAGGAATGAAGACTGAGACTGTACCAATAGTAATCGGAGCTCTGGACCTTGTGAGAAAAGGAATGGACACTTTTACTTAAGTACCCAGGTAACATCAACATACAAGTTGACCAGATCTACATACTAGGAACATTCCATATACTAAGAAAAGTGCTATCAATTAAATGACAGTTCTCCTTTAGAGCGTAAGGACCATAGAGTGGACCCGGCTCTACAGGATAAAAAGCAGGAAAACTAACATACGCAAATAATAATAATAATAATAAAGGCGGTAAACTAACGCAAACTACAGATTTCGACCTTGATATCAACAACAAGATTAAGGAACCAGACTAAGATGGAACATACAAATACTTATGAATTAATGAAGGAAACGGAATACAACATTCAAATATGAAGAAATAGACCCAAAAAGAATATTATAGGAGAGTGCGTTTGATACTAGAAAGCGAACGTAATGGGGCCAATAAAATGAAGGCTGTCAACACTATCTATAGCCATAGTAACATACAGCTTCAACGTTCTTAAGTGGAAGGTGAATGATATTAAAAGATTGAACGTCAAGACCAGATAGATGCTTACCCAAATGAGGATGCACCACCTGAAATCAGATGTTGATAGGCTGTACGTACGTAGAGCTTTAGGAGACGGAGGTCTAATCTAACATAAAATAACTCTAAAAACTACAAAAATCGGATTGGAAGCATACCTCACAATAACCAACGTACCTCCTATAAATATGCTATTGATTACGCTCTTCAAAAAACAGCTTAATATACCTGAAGCGAATACCATCTACGCCAAATGA